TAGAGGCAAAAATTTCAAAGCAACATCTGGCCTCTACACCACTGCAAGCTACTGTTTATTGGATTCCAAAATTCCAATGCATTTTCCCAGAACATAATAAGCAAGATTAAAGATTCATTATAATTGGTTTGTTAGCATGTAAGGCATGCAACAAAGACAAAATCCACTGTTAAGTACACATCAAATGGCATTCTTATTTTCATTTTGTGGTGGAAGGTTATTTAGGGAAACTATACCAATATTCCAATCAACTTCCCCTTCCTAAATATCAATCTGGATTCTCAGGAGTTTGATAGCTGCGTCTGTCTCCACCTTTTCAACCTGCCCAAAACAACGGCTCAGGATCAAGACACAAGTTTAACCAATAAATAAGCCACATTGTCCTTCCCACCTCCCAGGAAAACGTCAACGTCAGGCTGCCTGTCCCCCTCCACGACGGGAACAACAACGTCAAGAGATAAATTCCGAAAAAAAAAAGTTTAGAAAAAAACCCTCCCGCCAAAGAGAGCATTTCGTCCCCTATCTATCTGTAACAAGAAAACCCCCGAAACGCTTGCAAACGAGAATAAATACAATAAATAAGAGAGACGGGTGTCCTCCTCACCCTCACAGGTCCATTGTAAACACGTCGACTGCTTGTGACGTCATCAGTCGACAGGCCTATTAAAGATTATTAATATAAAACTGCATTCTTATGTCTATGAACTTTCTTTTGGGGGTTTATATATGCAACTAAAATTAAGACGGATAATTTGCTATTTCTTGAAGATTTTACTTCCCTCTTTCGTAATGCCACATCCGGTTTCTTTTTTGATATATCCCAAAAAATAAAAATAAATAAATAAAAAAATTCCTCGGAAAATTAATGACTACTTGCAAGTAAGAGAAAAAAGCCACGGAACCCATGGATTTTCCCTAATAATTCCGAATACTTCCCCTGATCTAATAAAAATGGAGTTTAAGAGGTAAAAAGCCGAAGTCGTCCAAGCCAGGCTGCTTCACCGGCTCTCCGTGGCGTGCGGGACAAAGGCTTCTTCTCCCTTCCTTTTTCCCCTTTTTTCTCCGGATAGACTGGACGGAAGTGGATCGCGAGTGGATTCTCACACAGAGTTTCTCTATGAGGAGAGGGAGAGAGAAAGAGGAAGAAGGAGAGAGGACATTGGATCAAAGAGAGCTAAAAAAGGGTGGCAGGAAGGAAAGAGAGTAAGGTTGTTCATTGATGTGTGTGTGAATCTCGCTGGATAAATGTCCGAATTGCAGGCTGCCAATTCACAGCCTCCGTGTAAACGTCCAAGACTAGAGCCAGCTGTCAACGGAAGCACGGTAAGCCTAAAAAATCACTTGTGAATAAGGAAAGTGAGGCAGGAAGGGAAAGATGTTTGGGAATCCGGGTGTTAGCGGCGGAGGCATGAGGTTCCTCCCTCCCCCTCAAAGCGCGTGGGTCCCTTTTCGGGGGTTTCGCCCTCTCTCACCAGTTTGTGTTGGGGGGTTTGACGTGGGCGTGATGCATAGTCTTTAGCTCTTGGTGTTCTGTGGAGTAAAGGGAGGCAGTAGCCTTATCAGGAGAGTAAATTAGATGGTGTTTGAGGGCGGGAGCAGCAGGAGGGGCATGCTGTTGCAAGGCGTTGCTCGCAGCCACGCCGCTGGGCTGGGATTCTGCTCGTTGTTTTGGGCGCTGGAGTCCTGGGGGGCATTAGTTTTTAGTTGTAACTTGTATATGGTTGTGTGCAACTAGCGTGTATTATGTTTAGGCAAAGTAGTAATTACTGTGTGTTTGTTTGGCTGGCTGCATAATTCGTTTGCAGTGGAGGCAGTAGAAATGACTTTTCTTCTGTTAGAGGGGTTTGGTCACTTCGTAAAGTTACCAAAACTCGATTATATAGTGTGCTTGATATAACAACAAATTCGTGCAAGTTACTGTGTGCATAATTGAAATAAGGCATAATAATCACAAGGTTGGATGGCTGTGTGAAACCAGAAATTACCAAAATTTGAGTATTAGAACACTGTAGACACCTGCCATAGACTAACAACTCTTCATCTATATTTTAGCAAGATTGAACTTATAAATCTGCAACAGAAAACCAGTCCAAACATTGTCAGAATGAATGTTGGTTATTTGTTGGTCTTTGTTAGGGTACCAAACAGCCGGGAAAGGATTTTTTGATTTAGGATGTGGGTGTTTTACAGTTGAGTAATTGATTATATTTATACATCATGGTGTTAGTGCCCGTTTGATAATGTTTAAGGACATGTAAAACAATACTTTTTGATATAAAGGTCATCTGATCTATGTACACAAAATAAAGTTAGACCCTGTTTAACCTATCATAAGTCTCTGGATCAGGGCTCTACTCAATTAAATCTTTGTTTACTTTAAGGAAAACCAAACAAGGTTGAATTCTCATATCATACCCAAAATACTTTCCCTGATGATAAAGAATGGAGTCATCATTTGCTGCAATTGATAATGAAGGAAATATTAAAATCGCACAAGATG